GAGCCGCGGGTCTGCTCCTATAGCTGTTCAGATTGCTAGATGGTGGGCTTTCTCCGTCCTGCCTCACCCAACCCTGTTGACTAATATTTAGGTTGAGTCGAGTCCGAGTTCCCGGTGGTGGAGCCTGAATCATCGTAATAGGAGCACCGGAGGGCAAAGGCTCTCTTTAACCCGAGTTCTCCAGCCTCTGGCTGTGTGACAAGTACGTTAGTGTTTGGTTCGCAGAGACTTTTGAGATCCTAAGGCACAAATCAGAGAGTGGAAGAATACCGTGACATATGGGTGTGCGGGGGCGGAGGGGGGCAGGTGGGGAATGCTTTACTTGTTAGAACAATGTACGTGGTTAAAAATGCCACAGTATCCTATGTCGAATGTGTTATTCTCCCAACACAAGTGTGCGTTTTCAGCAAATTAAGTCCCACAAATTCTACCGTTAGACTAGACACCAGCTTTATAGCTGTCAGCTGTGCAAGACGATGAGCGAGAACCCTACAGGGAACTTGCTGACTCCTAATCAGAACTGAGACTGACAACATCCAGTCATAATTTAGCCCAACAAACTAATAAGGAAGAAAAAGCTATGTCAAGACATTTATGCTATTGCATCAGCAATTTTCAAATTCTAATTCTCACGAGGTTTTGTCATATGTGATACTCAGCCTACTCCCAATCCGAAATATACATTGCCCACTTTCTGGGATTCTATGACCATAAATGAAACCACACTCAAAACAGTGTTCTTTACTTCAGTATTAGGAATAAAATCGTCAGTTTGGGACTAACAGTTATCCATTTCATCTGTGATTTCCTGATGGTCTTCCATTTAAAACAAAACAAAACCAGTCTCAATCCTCAATGAGACCTGGTATCTCTCTAAAGCTGACAACCAACACACCATTATAAATATTGTATAAAGGAGATTTTTTTTAAAAAGATGATCTACGTCCCAATTGGGGATCTGCATCAAAAGAAAACTAGCAACAAAGGGTAAAATTTAAGTGCTATTCGTGGTCTAAATATAAAGTTCTCTTTTATTTAGATAGATCTTGGGCTAATCAGGAAAAGAGGGGAAGGATCTGGTCCTGGAAAGATGGGTAGGATTCTGAGAAGAGAGGAATAAGAGGGTATTAAAGATGTAAACAAAAGCATGAAGGAACCTACAACACTGACTTCTGGGCATCAACGCTACCTATCACCTCATTCTTAATTGTATACATAAATGAATTGAAGGTTACACAACTAGGCAATGGTCGTCAAAATTAGAACTGGAGTCTTCAGAATTCCAACTGTAGACATTGACAGTGTGCACTAACAACTTTGAAGCAAAGGATTTATTTGGGAAACAAAGAGGGAGAGGTTTAGAATAAGAAGTTGGTGTGTTAATGGGATGTACTTTCGTGAGAATTTAAGGATTTGGACTCTTCTATGCACCGTGAAATGTAAAACTGAATGCTCAGGCGTAGCTACCAGGTGGTTTCTCTTACTTGATTTTGTTTTGTGTTTGCTCTTAAATCTGTTTTACATTGCGCAATTTTTGCACAAATGCATTGAGTCAGTGTTCCTACCTGACTTTGCAGATTAGGAACAGATCGTGCCGTACTAGGACCTGCCCATAAACTCTTCCTGGAGGGCGGGCGGGTGGTGCGCGCCCGGCGGCGAAGAGAATTGGCCCTCCGCAGCCACCGTAAGGCCCGCCCAATCAGGGCTCCGCGGGAAGAGGCGGGCTGGAGTGGCGCGCGCTGCGCTGCTGGCTGTATTGCGGGGATTTCGGCATGGAGGAAATTTATGCCAAGTTCGTGTCTCAGAAAATCAGCAAAACCCGCTGGCGACCGGTACCTTCGGGGAGTTTGCAGACCGCGGAGACCTTCGCTACGGGCTCTTGGGACAACGAGGTAGCGCACTCCCGGGCCAGGGAGCCCCCGCCTCCTCCCTCCCGGCCCCCGTCGCCTTTCTCCGGCCCCCCGAGTCCCCGTCTCGGGCTCCGAACCATCGATGGTGTGCTCAGACTTCCCTCGTTATTCTGAGCTGCTTTTAAAGCAAGATTGCTGGGAGGCAATGCAGGTTTACATTTCCGAGAGCTAAACGTATACATCTCCAGATAAAACTTTCTGCTTTGCAGGAAAATCGTGTCTTATTGTGGTCTATTGGCGATTTGGGGAACTTGGACTCTGATGGAGGGTTTGAAGGAGACCACCAGGTATTGTGCGGTACCAGGCACTACGGTGACGTTATGGATTTACAAGTAAGTCTGTGTGGTATCCGTCAGCGAAGTGTTTAAAAGCGGAGAGGAATTCATTTAGAGATGCAAAGGGCCTTAAAGTGTGTCTCGCCTCACCCCGGTTCACAGCAAACTGAATTCTCTATTCGGTTATGATTCGCGAGCATATAGCCTACTGGATGACAGAATCAGGACTGGGGCAGGGGATGTGGATTTAATCTTAGTTTTTCATCTTAAGCTTAAAAAAAATTAATTGACTATCTTCTGTGTGCCAAGCACTGTTTTGGGAATTTCACATAAGTTAATTCTCATTGCTTGCTTGTGAGTCAAGTATTGTTATCTGTTTTACCAAGGAGAAAACTGACACGAAGATCTTTTGAGCACATGCTATATGAGAAATGCTCTGAAAGAGAATTTAATTGTTTTTGCCCTTTGAATTCTCACAACCCCCTAAGTAGGCATTAGTTCTCCCTTCGTAAAGGTGTCCCTGAGCTCAGAAAGTTTAACGTGGCTAAGGTCTCGAGGCAATTATTAAGCGGTGGGATGGAATTAAGTGTTCATATCCTGGGTCTGCCTGACTTTAAGTCCCTGCATTTTCTTCTATAGAAGGTTGCCTAAAGCTTTATGGTAGTGGTCCAAAATTAATTAAGTCAATTATAGACTAATGAGTTTAGGGGAATAGTTTATTTTTTCTTCCCCAAAATACTTGTATTTGAATAGGAATTTTGACTTTCAGATTTAGAAAGTCACATTTTATTTGCTTAGCATTTACAGGATCTTTGCATTTTAAAGTTGTTATCACTGCTAATTAAGTTAAACAAATGAGCTTCCTCCCTATTGATATTTCTGAATCTATTAACAAGCAGGAATTTTCTACTTAGTTTTTCGACCAGGAAAGAATTGTAGCTGCTTCGTCAACAGGATGTGTTACAGTTTTCCTTCACCATCCCAACAACCAGGTAAAGAAATGCTGTTTGAAAACTGAATTTGTATTTTAATTAGTTTTAGGAAGGCTTAAAGAAGACTGTACTTAATAATGACACAAATAATAAGATTTTATAATCTCAAAACATGCAGGAGAAAAATTGTTACATTACCCATCTTTTAGTAGGTTAATTCTAGAGCTATGTTTGTGTGAATTTTTATTGAAATTGGATAGTCTTAAATTCTGTTCGTTTGGATCTAACAATGTAGTATCTGGCAAGTGATTTTTCTGTAATTCTTTCTTTTAAGTTCTTATTCTGGACTTTGAAGAAAGAGAACTTTCTAGCTCAGGTATCATAAAAGAGAACAGGAACAGCCACTTTGCTTCTGTGGCTAGAATCTCAGTTTTAATTAGAAGAGAGAATATGCTGTATGAAGACTTGACACTTTTTCCCCCTTTTTAAAAATAGAATTTATTGGGGTGACATTGGTTAATAAAATTGTACGGGTTTCAGGGGTATAGTTCTACAGTACATCGTTTGTACATTGTATTGTGTGTTCATCGCCCCAAGCCAAGTCTCCTTCCATCACCACTGACATTTTATCGATGTCTCTCTTGTGTACTAAGAGTGCTGATCTTCACTGCATAGTGGTGAGGGCAGTCCTTTACAATGGCCTCACTTGTAGTAACAGTTTTAAGTTCCTGGAAGAGAGTGCTTATTTAGATTTTGGAATTCATAAAGGTCACCTTCCTTATAAGCATGCCTAGTAAGTGTAAGACCAAGCCCTTACTGTTTTCCTTAATGGAGTCATTAAGAAAGCTCTATAGAGATTTATCTTAGGCTAATGCCCTAAAGAATTTGAAGTTTCTTTGCCCAGCAGGTGTGGCTCCGTGGTTGAGCTTTGACTTATGAAACAGGAGGTCACAATTCCATTCCTGGTCAGGCCACCTGCCCAGGTTGTGCGCTCGATCCCCAGTAGGGGGAATGCAGGAGGCAGCGGATCAGTGATTCTCATAATTGATGTTTCTATTTCTCACTTCCTCTCTGAAATCAATAAAAATAAAATAAGAACAAATTTAAAGTTGCTTTTGAACACACTACTACCAGATACCTAAAAACCATTTTTTTAGTTTGAGATAAGATTGGGATATTTTTGGACAGTGTTCCTTTAAAATCTAATCCATTGTATACAGAGCTTTGATGGAAGTAGGTTCTAGACCAGCCGTGGGCAAACTACGGCCCTCGGGCCGGATCCGGCCTGTTTGAAATGAATAAAACTAAAAAAAAAAAAAGACCGTACCCTTTTATGTAATAATGTTTACTTTGAATTTATATTAGTTCACACAAACACTCCATCCATGCTTTTGTTCCGGCCCTCCGGTCCAGTTTAAGAACCCATTGTGGCCCTCGAGTCAAAAAGTTTGCCCACCCCTGTTCTAGACTTTCGTATTTGGAAATACAAAGGAAAAAGGAGAGAGTTATTTCCTAGAAGGGTGTGAGAAAATTTTAAAACACTCAGTTGGGGAAAAGTGCTAGTTTTTTAGAACTTTACTTTGGTTGATTATATCTTCATTTCTGACTCCTAGACTCTGTCAGTCAGCCAGCAGTGGACAACAGCTCACTACCACACGGGTCCAGGCAATCCTTCCTGTAGCAGTGCACCATGCACAGGTGTTGTGTGCAATAGCCCAGAGATTGTCACAGTTGGAGAAGATGGTCGAATAAATCTCTTCAGAGTTGATCACAAGGAAGCTGTGAGAACTATAGGTAAGAAAAATTGAGCACCCATCTTGTGCTAAGTAGGTACAGTGCTAGGTGTTTCAGGGATATAGAAATGTACAAAGCAGAATCCCTTTATCAGGATATTTGGCTGGAGTGAGTTATTGGATAAAGAATTGAGGGGCAGGTGGCAGTTAATTTAATCAAGGTTCTAGACCATAAATAACTAAAAGATGGCACACCAGACAAAGGGAATAGTGAGGAGGCAGGATAGGGCCATTTAGAGAATGACAGAAAGAGTGTTTTGACCTTATATGTTTATATAGGAGAGGTGAGAGAGAAAGCAAGGAAGGTAAAGTGTGACCAGGTTGTAAAGAGTCTAATGCATAGCCATTGAGGTTACATTTTGTTGGATGGACAGTAAGGAGCTGGTGGAAATGTTTGAGTAAGCCGGTGATATACTCCCTGTTGTGCTTTAGAAGGGTTATTCTAGTGTAGTAGTTCTCTACGTTTCACAAAGACTTGCCTAAGGAGATTTTTAATAGCCCACCAACCTAGACCTAAATAAGAACTTCTATGGATTGTGCTCATGAATCAGTGTTTTATGTAGTTTATGATCAATTTTAGTTCTGAGAAGCACCACTTGTTTAAGGACCATTGCCTGGTGGCAGTTGGGAGGAGTGTGACAAAGTTTATAAGTATATACTATGTTTTATGGTTTAAGCTTAAATACTGTAGGAAGAAGGAAAGGACCATATAACAAAGAAGAAGGACTTCACAGAGATGAGAATTAGTTGATAAGGAAAGATGAATTTGAGTCAGCAGAATAAGACTGTACATTTTTTATAGAAATTAAACTGTGACCTATTTAAAATTTCACTTGACCTATGTAATAGTTCCATAAAAAGAATGCTATTTAAAAATTAGAAAAATAATAATTTTTTAAAAAGAACATGATTTAAGATTTTCATGGCACAGGGGACCATTAACACACACTGCTGTTTTCTTAATTTGTAGACAATGCAGATAGCAGTACACTGCATGCTGTAACCTTCCTTCGAACTCCTGAGATTCTTACAGTAAATTCAATTGGACAATTAAAAATATGGGATTTCAGACAACAAGGAAATGAGCCCTCTCAAATATTATCACTGTAAGTTTTAATTTGTAATTTCAGTAGTGTAATGCAAAATTAATTTGTTCAGTCATTTATAGCAATTGACTTTAAACCATATTGCATTTTAAGAGAATAATCCCTATTTAAATTTGATAAAAAAAAGTATAATTTGATGGGTTTGATACTGCCATGCTGCATTTAGTAGGTATTTGCTATCTTGATTCAGAGTCTTTATCTCCTTGAAGTTTATATTATTTAATGGGGAATTTATTTTTGCTCATCAAATGATTCTATTAACAGTGAGTATAATATTCTAGGTATGACTGGGAGAAAAATAAAATCCCAGGTTTTTGTTTTCTTTTAATCTTCACCTGAGGATATGTATTTTATTGATTTTAGAGAGAGAGGGAGGGAGGGAGAGAGAGAGAGAGAGAGAGAGAGAGAGAGAAATGAACATCAGTGTGAGAGAAAAACATTGATTAGTTGCCTCCCGTACTTATCCTGACCCAGGGATTGAGCCCCAAACCTGGGTATGTGCCCTGACTGGGAATCGAACCCGAGACTGTTTGGTGTACAAGAGGACTTCAACCAACTACCACACAGGCCTATGCTCTAATGTTTTTTAAAAGCCAAGAAATGGAAATGTGTTTTGCACATCATGCCATCAGATTATCTTGCTCCCTATGCCTCCCAAATTGAAGAGAGAATGAATAACTTTGGCCTTAAACATCCCCTCCCCCAATTTCTAATATTTAAAAAAATATTTATTTATCTATTTGGTTAATCCTCACCCTAGGATATTTTTCCATTGATTTTTTAGAGAGAGGGAAAGACAGAGAGAAACATCAATTGGTTGCCTCTTGCACATGTCTCCACCAGGGCATGGGCCAGGGAGAAGCCTGCAACCAAGGTCCGTGCCCTTGACTGGAATCGAACCCGGGACTCTTTGGTTGGCAGGCTGACCCTCTATCCACTGAGCCAAACAGGCTAGGGCAGAAGTATATTTAATGTAGTCAGTTTTGGGACATGATTTAAATTCAGCCAGCAGATGTAGCCACAAAATTATCATTTAGTTACTAGAATGAAATATGTTTCATGGGTTATACAAAGTAAGTATCCTTTACAACATTTGATTTTATTGTATCTCCCATAAAAGGACTGGTGACCGAGTGCCACTCCACTGTGTTGATAGACATCCCAACCAGCAGCATGTTGTAGCTACTGGGGGCCAGGATGGAATGTTGAGTATTTGGGATGTTAGACAAGGTACTATGCCTGTGTCTCTGCTGAAGGCTCATGAAGCTGAAAGTAAGTGTTATGGAGATACGTAGTTTTTGTTGGGTGAGTTATATGATACACTGTAATGGTACACATGGATTGTCTTGCATCATAGCTTTTGGCTCAATTGTATAAATATGTAATAATTAACTTACCTCGTTTTATTTGACATTTAAGTTCTTTAATATGTTTCATTATTATAACCAAAACCACAGTGATTCACCTGCTTTTGTTCACCCTTATGTACTTATTTTCTTTTGATAATTTTTTAAAAGTATGTTTTTATTGATTTTATTTTAATTTTTTGTTAATCCTCATGCAAGGATATTTTTCCCATTGATTTTTTAGACAGAGTGGAAGGGAGGGGCAGAGACATAATGTTTAATTGTGGTAACTGTCAGAATGAAAATTGATGAGGTTTTTTTAGGCTTAATAGAAATGTTTTTAATCCTTACCCAAGGATATGTTTTATTGATTTTACAGAGAGAAAGGGAGGGGGAGAGAGAGAAACCTCAATATGAGAGGGAAACATTGATCAGTTGCCTCCCTTACGCACCCTGACTGGGAATCGAACCTGCAATCTTTTTGGTGTATGGGACTATGCTCCAGTCATCTGTATTAATGCTTGAATAAAAGTACGAAAGGACATGTTATACTAGTACTGCAACTTCTGTTTAATAAGTTTCACCTTATTACCTTGGAAAGATAAATGACTTTTGAGATTATATTTAAGATAAAGCAGATAAAAGGATAGAAAAGTTTTTGCCTCTTCCATTTATAGTTGTGCCCAAGAAAATAAATGAATAAAAAGGAATAAAGGTATGCCCTCATAGAGTCTGATGTTGGCTAACACAGTGGTAGTAGAATTACAAATTTTCAGATCTTTTCTTACCAGTCCCTTTTTAACTGCTGTTTAACTTACCAGTCCCTTTTAACTTAGCCCCTTTTAAACTATATTGTTAGGCAGTAAACATACAAATGTAATGTATTGTATTACCTCGAATTCATCCTGACTCTTTGCTAGAAAGAGATGTTTTATGGAGCTTTGTTTTCTAATTTGAAAATAAATAAATACTTAAGAATCTATATTTGGTGCTCGCTTTGGCAGCACATACACTAAAATTGGAACGATACAGAGAAGATTAGCGTGGCCCCTGCGCAAGGATGACATGCAAATTCGTGAAGCGTTCCTTTTTTTTTAACAAAAGAAAAAGAATCTATATTTGGGCATTTGTTTGTGGCTCTATGGGTTGTTTTGTTTCACTTTGTTTTAATGAAGCAGTATTAATGCACTTTATACAGGGACTCACCCAGAACACATTCCTTTCCTGCTAAGGAAGGTGACCTTTTTATGGTTTGTGACATGATGTTTAATTGTGGTAAATGTCAGAATGAAAATTACCAGCTTGCAAACACGTGCCTTGCACTTTTTATGTTACACCTCAGGCACTTTCTATGCTGCCTTTTTTTTCTTTTTCTTTTTTAAATTTTGTATATATGCTGCCTTTTTAGGGTCACCTGACCCAGAATCACAAAACCCTTGTCCACAGACTACCTGTTTTATCTGCATGCTGCAGAGAACTTCATAAGGCACCCTGGCCAGACATTGGCTCCCAGATGTCTATGGGCACACAATGTTCTCATAAAGTTTAGAGCTTGAGGAGTCCTCAATCCCAACTTGGCTTCTTAAAAGCCTTCCATCTGAAACTGGACCCCAGATTCTTAGAGCATTTCCAGGTTTTGGTTTGCTGGGAGCTAGTAGCTATTTCTGTGATACAGAAGAAAAGTGTTCAGTCCTGGCATGTGCCAAATTGGACTCTGCCTCTTTGAATTTCATTTGTATATTACTTTTATGGTCGTCTCTCTCAGTTTTTCTAGTAATATAACCTGCATATGTTAATGACACAGGAACTGAAAATAAGAGAACCTAAACTAATTTTTAGAAAAAAATTTTCAGAAGTATTCCATTGCCATACTTTTACATTTAAAAAAATGTAATAGGTCAAATGATTAGCATTTATTTTCATTCTTTTGCTGGCCCAATACACATGTGGATTTACTTGGCTTCTTTATCCTATCTGTAGTATGAAGAGTTATAGTATGGCTTAATTCTGAAGCCTTTGATTTTTTTCAGACTTGGGGTTCAAAGGTGTGTGATGGAGGTTAATGGAAGATGATGCCTACAGATAGGGCTTTAATGTTTGTTTAATCTGCATAAGCTTCTTGGTTCTTATCTCTTAGTGTGGGAAGTTCACTTTCACCCATCCAACCCAGATCATCTATTTACCTGTTCTGAAGATGGATCCCTGTGGCATTGGGATGCCTCCACAGATGTGCCTGAAAAATCATCACTCTTTCACCAGGGTAAAAAGTTTTTTTGTTTTGTTTTGTTTTGTTTATTCTCACTCAAGGATATTTTTTCCCATTGATTTTTAGAGAGAGTGGAAGTAGGGGGCAGAGGGGAGGGGAGAGAATCATCACTGTGAAAGAGACACATTGATTGGTTGCCTCCCACACTCGCCCCGACTGGGACCAGAGATCCAACCCTGAAACCCAGGTACATGCACTTGACCAGGAATGGGAAGTGAGGGCGGGGGTGGGGGGCGATGCTCTAACCAATGAGTAACACCAGCCAGGTTTTATTGGTTTTAGAGAGAGAGGGAGGGAGGGAAGGAGAAAGAGAGAGGGGGGGTAGGGGAGAGAAAGAAACACTGATGTGAAAAAGAAACATGGATTGGTTCCCTCCACCTAGTCCTGGGATGGAACCTGTGACCTCTCGGTGTATGGGAAGACGCTCCAACCAGTTGAGCCACACCAGCCAGGGTCACTGTGGCTATTGTATGGAAAATGGACTATGAGGAGAGGGATGGTAAAAGTAGAGGCAGGGAGACCAGGTAGGAGATTTATCACAGTGATTCTAATAATGTTAATTTCACAGTATTCAAGTGTGATGTAAAATATAGGAGCAGTAAAAGACGAAAAACCAAGGGGAAATCTAAAACTTCTCCAGAAAACAATGTGGAGAAGTATGGATTGTGTAAATCATGTAGTGTTGGTTTTTTTGTTTGTTTGTTTTAAATTTATCTTTATTATTAAAAGTATTACAGCCCTAGCCAGTTTGGTTCAGTGGATAGAGCGTCGAGCTGCGGACTGAAGGGTCCCAGGTTCGATTCCGGTCAAGGGCATGTACCTTGGTTGCGGGCACATCCCCAGGAGGGGGTGTGCAGGAGGCAGCTGATCGAAGTTTCTCTCTCATTGACGTTTCTAACTCTCTATCCCTCTCCCTTCCTCTCTGTAAAAAAAATCAGTAAAACGTATTTTAAAACAACCCCTTCCACCCTCCTCCCAACATGTAGCATGTTTGTGCTGACTTTATTTGTGGAGAAAAATAACTTTATATAAGGATTAACTAAGCACTTGGTTTTTACTTCTTCCTCTGCCCCCATTATCTAACATTTGAAATTTCACTGTTTGAAGAACCTTTGTTAGGCTAGAAATAAAATAATTTACTATATTCTGTGTCTAGTATTGCAGGGCACAGTATTAGACACTGTGAAAGGGTAAAACAAATATAATCTGTGCAAACTATTAAAAATACTTACAGAGAAAGGAGCATGGAAAGTTAAATCGTAAATATTATAACTAGTAAATTGGTGGTGTACATACAGTGCTGAGGGTTCCTGGAAGGAAGAGAGAAGCATGAACTAGCGTTGCTTTCAAAAGCTTAGAGAAGGAAGTTGACTGGGCTTTCAAGAATCAGCAAGATTATGCTGGCCGGTGGTTCAGTGGTTGAGTGTCGACCTATGAACCAGGGTTTGATTCCTGGTCAGGACACATGCCCACGTTGCAGGCTTGATCCCCAGTGTGGGCTGTACAGGAGGCAGCCGATCAATGATTCTCTCTTACCCTCTCTCCCTCTCCCATCCTCTCTGAAATCAATAAAAATATATTTTAAAAATAATTTTAAAACATTTTACTACTCATTAAGCTTGAAGACATCAGGGACTTCACCTTGTATCCCCCACATTAAGCACAGAGCCTGGCACACAGTTACTCGGCCACATTTTGAATAAATGAAATCTGTCTTTATTTGATTTGGCAAAAAGTTGAAAGGAAAGAAAATTTCAAATAATGGCTTAAACTGAAATATACTGCTTCACTTCTATATTCAATACAGAGCACTGTTAGAGATAAAAGTTTATAATCTGGTAGTGTTCTAAAATTCTGCTTTTAAGATAAATTACCTAAAATAAAGGGTAAAAGAAAGCTAAAGCAAGTTGACTATATTTTATTTTTTTCTTTATTTATTCTACGTTTCTTCTGACCATTTTGCTACATTTCTGACACTTTCCATTAAAGAATGAACAGAAAGACAGGGTCAGCATAAATCTGCTTTGCCTGTAGTTTGATGTCCATATTATCCCATGGAAATTTGAGTTTTAATGTCACGGAATAGGCCTCTGGTAAGAAATGGTGATGTGTAATCATGAATAATCAAGCTGTTATTCTGAGAATTAAACAAGTTTAAGTCATCGCCTTTAAAAAATATCAATAGAATTTTGGATGTTCACTAATGTAAAATTAGTCTTGAAATATTTCCCCTCCTTTTTTTTTCTCCCAGGAGGAAGAAATAGTACATTTTTGTCTCATAGCATTAGTAACCAGGCTAATGTTCACCAGTCTCTTATAAGCTCCTGGCTCAGCACTGATCCTGCGAGAGACCGGATTGAGATCACAAGCTTGCTTCCCAACAGGACTTTGTCTGTGAACAGTTTGGATGTTTTAGGTCCTTGTCTTGTTTGTGGAACCGATTCAGAAGCAATTTATGTTACTAGACAACTTTTTTCATGAAAATACTATAATTACAAGATACCAGGTAAAAACATACAGATAGCCTTTCAAATTCCAACTTCTCTGCAAACTTTTATTAATGAACAATGTGACGTTTGTAGTAAACTCATTAATGGCAATGCCCAGGTTTGTATTTTGTTAGCTGGATAGTCTTCTAACAGTTGCAGAATCTGTTAGGTGACTGATGGCACAGGAACGGGAACTTGTGGAAGAATGTCAGAGGGATCCTCGTGTTGATGAATACACTGCCTTCAGACACCCTCCTGGACAGCTCGTGGAAGCTGCTCTTCTTTTCTGATGTGAGCTGTCAAATCACCAACAGGTTCCTGTCCTTGTTATCAACAGTATGTGGCATTAGCCAGTGTTAGCGTTTATTCTTTTTATTGCAAATGTTTTCTTCAATCCTTTCACATTTTATTTCTTTAATAATTTTAATAAACTTTTCCAGAAATAATTGAGTAGAACAAAAAACTGACAAATTTTTTTAAAGGGGAAAATGTTTTGACTATGTTTGAACAGAACTCTATCAACTGCTTATACCCAACTTTATTTTTCTTGAAAAGAAAAAAGAAAATGCATTTTTTCTTAAGGATTTTTGCCTTTGTTTAGTTTTATAGTGTAGTTGAAAATTGCCAAACTGGACATTATGCAATAAAATAGAATTTGACATTGATAAGTGAGCTGATTTTGAAACTAACATTTGATAGGTAACATGTATGAGATTAGTGTGATAGTGTGGTAAGAGTAAAGAATTTTGCTGTCTTTATCCTTATTGGAAATGTTAATGATGACCTTCTATAGTGTTTTAAGACAGTAGTATGACATTGTCTTTCCATAATGTGTTAGATTAAATGCATTATTGAAGTGTGTTCATGTGCTTTATAATTCCAATAATAGTAATTATGGTAAAGTTTTGCTCTTTTCCCTTAATATTTTCAAAAAATTTTATGCCACCTTATCTCAGGGTTTTTTGTTTTTGTTTCTTTGTCAGTATTTAAAAATGGAATATGTATATGAATCTGCTTTTTTATATTTGGCTCAAAAATGTTTCATTAAAGATAATAAGTAACTGAATTCCAAATAATTAGAAGGAAAGAAAATGTTGCTGATAGGAATTTTTAATCTGTTTATAATGTTATTGCTGGGATCAATTTTTTAAAATTTCTGTTATTACAAAAGTAATTCATTACAGAAAAACAAATCTTAACTACTTATAACCTCAACTAATAGTCTTTTATATTTCTTTTATTCATCAGTGTATATAATTTGTTTTGTGAAAATGAAATATATATTTGTAGATGCACATTCCCTACCAGTAAACACATGGGTTCAATCATATAAACATAGCTATGAATTTTCCTTTGACTTTATGTTTTCATTTGAATGAATGTCATGCTGCAGCCTAAGCTACAGTGTCCCTTTTCCCCCAGTACAAGCACCCTCCCATTACAGTTAGCAGGTTAACTTCCTTTTTAAAAGGAAATATATTTTTATTGATTTCAGAGAGGAAGGGAGAGGGAGAGAAAGATAGAAATATCAATGATAAGAGATCCATTGATCAGCTGCTTCCTGCACGCCCCCTACTGGAGGTCAAGCCTACAACCTGGGTGAGAGGGAGAGAAAGATAGAAATATCAATGATAAGAGTTCCATCGATCGGCTGCTTCCTGCACGCCCCCTACTGGAGATCAAGCCTACAACCTGGGGATGAGCCCTAGACCAGAATTGAACCAGGGATCCTTCAGTCCGCAGGCCGACGCTCTATCCACTAAGCCAAACCAGCTAGGGCAGCAGGCTGACCTTGCTCTGGGTCGAAGACCCTAGCTAGCTCTTCGGTGGCACATTTTCCATGTACAGTAAATGGCATGCTTGTTGTGCCTCTGCTCTTACCTGTATTATCTGCTGCTGTAAAGTTTGAAGGTTTCATACATGTTAGCACTCTTGTCAGTTTCCAGCAGCAATGTATACAATTTCCCTGGGTCATTATAGTGAATGATGGTAAAGGGAAGGAGCCAGACATCTAGGCTTAAAATATTAGCTGGGACTGGAAACAGTTTTAAATTTCAAGCTTTGCTTTGCTTGGACTGGAAACAAAGGACAGGATAACAAGGACAGGAACCCGTTGGTGATTTTTAAGTTTTTAGCCTTGCTTTGATTTAAGGGTATTTATAACCATATGTAAAAAGAAAGTACATTTGAATAATGTTACATTCGATACATTTAATAAGAAACAAGTTTTATGTAGTATAAATTAAACACTAATATATGAATTTGCTCTTTGTCACTTACTGCCTTTCATGAAACTATGAAATGGTCTTTTTGAGGGCTGCAGGATCTCAGAGGTGGGAGGCACTTTAGGGCATCTCCAGCCTACATCTGATCGTCCCTCCCACAGCATTCCCAACAAATTCTCACCCATATATTTGAAAATACTCTGTGCAGCCTCTCATCATTTGGACAGCTTTTTTTGATCCAGCCATGATGGCAGGATTTTAGTATGTGAGTGGGACTCAAAACGGTCCTGTAAAGAAAAGGTAGAATAATGTTATTGTGGGTTAATAAAATGATCATGTGAACCTGCTATGAGACAAAGCCCGCCACCAATTCATTTATTGAATTTGCATTATGTTGGGGTACTTAACCATAAGGTTTCACTAAATAAATGAGTTTTTCATATACTGAATTGAAATAGGCTTCCATTTGTCTTCTATCCTCAGGAGCCACAAAAATTTTAATTCCTCTCATATTCGAGTAGCTACATATTATAGCTACTTTAGGGTGAAACTTCTTAGTCTATCCCTTCATTGGTTTCTTGAGGGCAAGGTTCCCGTCCCAGCCTTTCTTGCCCTAGTTGGCTAGATCCTGCTTACTCTTCTGGACTCCTTTTAGGTGTCATTTTCTCAAGAAAGCCTTCCCTGACCTCTGACAATGTGGGCTAAATTGTACTCTGTTTCTAAAGCCCATTGTGCAGAGCTTACATTGTGCTTAGAGCAGTGTGTTAAGTAGCCTTTCTCCCTCTACTGGACCACAAGCTTACGAGCAGAGCCCATGTGTGGGTGTTACATTGACAATATTTAATACAATATCTGGTCCATAGTAAGCACTGCCTCAGTGCAAACTGAACTAAATCCTAATCTTACTTTCCTTTTTACAAAAATACTCCCGTTTTCCAAAGGCCAGCTTTAAAGTGAGACTTCTAAAATGAATACTTTTCCAGGGAGTGTCTGCCTCACTTGTGAATATGATAGAAATCTTATCCTGATTTTGGGCACAGTACTCTTTTGTAATGCTATGTTGAGTTTATTTGAGTAATTCTGACATTTGTTCAATTAGACTGCTGACTATTGAACTTAACCCTTAAGTTTTCACACAGGATATGCTTAAGCCATACTTCCCATATTGAGTTAATGCAGGTGGGTTTGGTCCTTACTATAGGTCCATCCTTCGTGTTTTAAGAAAGACAAATTTTATTTCAATATAGGAAAGAATTAACAATCCCCTCGGAATCTTTTCTTGAGAAACAAATTATTTTCAGAATTGTCCAGCATGCTTTCTGTACTCTCATCCCATTAGTTAGGAAATAGATTAAATGGACCGAGGTGCTTCGGCCCACTCCTAGAGTCCTCTCAATCATCAGTGACACACGAATCACTGGTATTTGGCTACAGTCACTGAAATATTTATAAACCAACCTAATTTGTTGATATTCTGCCCCATTTCTCTTGTTCACAAGACTACTAGTATTTTGAGAAAACATCTGTGCTATAGCTATTCTATCAAAAAGTTGGCATAATTGAAACATTCCTTGTCCTTTGTGAGTTATACTTCTGTTTCATAGTACTGTGGAAATATCCTTTCAATAATCCATTCTGCCCAGCCGGTGTGGTTCAATGGATAGAGCGTCGGCCTGTGGACTGAAGGGTTCCGGTTTCGATTCCTGGTCAGGGCACATGCCTGGGTTGCGGGCTTGATCCCGAGGGGGCGTGCAGGGGGCAGCCAATCCATGATTCTCTCTCATCATGGATGTTTCTCTCCCTCTCCCTTCCTCTCTGAAATCAATGAAAACATTCAACAATTATCCATTCTAGAATCTTGTCCAAGAAGTGTATAAGTTCACTATTATATACTTTGTATCATTTAAGCTTATGGTTTCAGTGTGTTATCTCGCTCAATGAATTAGATGGTCTGAAGCAGTGCTCTTATTTTATAGATCTGAAACCTAGGGAGCTCCCAAACTATGACATGCAACTGTTTAGACTATTTCATTGGCCTCATTCTGAACCATGACTAATGTTTGGTGGCAATGTAGAACAACTAACAGCAACATCCTGGACTGCAGTCATCTTAGCATCAAAATAATTTCCAACATTTCACTAAAATAGAGGTGTACATAGAGGGAAGAAGCCATGGAGGGATGGGCATGATGAGAAAGGAGAAAGACTATAATTGATCACATAAATTTTTTTAATTAATTAAAAGTAAACATGTTCAATTCCAAAGTGTCATGACAACTTTGGGGGACAGTAGCTGACTAGCCTAACAAAGCCACCAGAAATGAATTCACTGTCAAAACAATTTTTGTGCAGGCCATGGATGTATGAAGGTAAACTGTAATTAATACTAGACTCTAAAATAATAGCCATAACAAATCCGAACAGTTTTTACCCCTGCACATAGTATGGAATGAACTTAAATTTAAAAATCTCTTGCCGGAGAGGTCATACAAGCAATGATACCCTAGTAGCAATAAGCACACTCAGACACCAGATTTGGTTTTTAATACCATTTTCCAATAAAAGGAACTAGGGCTACTTGGAGGGTTTGGAAATAATACAAGATAGTTTGCAGCATCTTGTAGTGCCAGAAAGTAAGGAAATTCTAAAATAACAACAAAAAATAATGGGAGTAGGTCAAAGGGACACAAAAACCAACTGGAAAAGTTCCCAATAGTCAAAGTTGAAACAATTGCTCAACAAAATAAAATACCCAAAATATAAAATATCCATGAGTCCACAATTCTATATGTAAATGCTTGACTAAACAAATGGGGGAGAAGAGACCAATCTGATCAGAATTCCAAATAATTTATATAGATTCTCTTCCCTGAAGGAGGCTGCTCATAATCTAGAGCCTTCCCCTAAGACTGAATTCCTAGGAGGACTGATGCTCTCAGGACCACAACGTAGTCTCCAGACTGCTTCCATGCCCAGTTCCTACGATCACCCAAATATGAAATTTGGCCCCTATTAAAAAATGAAAAAAAAATTGCCACTTCTATGAAGCGTTGAAGAGGTGAGTAAACTGGCTGGACCAAGGGTTTTCCATCACAGCAATGCAAAGACCTTCAAATGAAGGCCGATATTGCCATTCCCAGACATCCAGCGCCCCTTGTAAGCATCTTCCTGGTCTTTCACCTTCACCCCCACTCCCACCTGCAGTCTCAGCCACTTTTAATCGTACAGGTTCTCTCTGGATCTCTCCTCTCCTCCTCCTCTTCTGTCCCCCTACTTCATAGCAGTCACTCTCCTAGTCTGAGAGCAATTCACCCCGCTCCGTGAATTATCGAGGAATTTCCCCAAAGACAGTAGTCTATGGAGATACTTGTCTTTACGCTCAGAGAGAATTGAGAAACTTAAGAAGTTCCATGGGTTGATGACAGAGGTGACAAAACTGTGGGTAGTACACGCTTCCAAACGCAGGCAGGCCTGTGAACACAGATTCATATAATGTGGAGGCTGAACGGGACCTAGAGATTATTTAGTCCCCAGTGGAAGAAAGTGAAAACTAGGATTATTGAGTGACCATCTTGGGTCAAATCCTCTACCTTGCACAAACTCTGTGTTGTGAAACGTTGATTTTCTTTCTTTTTTAAAAATGTATTTTCATTTAATTCAGCGAGGAAGAGAGAAATATCAATGATGCTGTCTCCTGCACGCCCCCTACTGGAGATCAGCCTGCAACCCGGGCATGTGTCCTTGGCTGGAATCCAAACTGGCTTTGGCTGGAACGCTGATTTTCAACCAAGTGCTCTTAGAATGTAATCTTTTAATATAGTCTCTTCTTTTCACATGTGATTTTTTTTGGATACAGTAGCCAGTAACTAACATCAGAAAAAGAAGTCTTAATTTAAAAAAATTTGGTAAATTCTATTGGAAAAATGATGAAAGGGGATTTCAAAACACCAACTTGCCTACATTTTCAAGAGGCAGAACTGGCAAAGGCGGTCTACAAACGGTGCTTTCAAACATCATGTGCCCAATGATTCCATCCCAAATTCCCAATTTTTTTAAAATATATTTTTTATTGATTTTTTACAGAGAGGAAGGGAGAGGGCTAGAGAGCCAGAAACATCAATGAGAA